TACCCCATAAACAATTCACTTTAACCTCTTTTAGTTTTTAAATTGAGAACTCATAAATCTTTAATCCATGGCTATACACTTAAGTCACGTCTTCATGAAATTAATCATGCATTCATCATTATTCCATCAATGATTTCTAAGCAATAATCCAATGTATCTCAAATTAACATAGCATCCTCAAATTGACATAAACCCTAACTTGACATTTCATCCCATTTCATATGGTATAGATTACTTTAAATGTTGTTACCCTTACTAATAAACAACATTTACATCATAATAACAAACACACATCAAGAATCATCTCTACGAATCAAATTTCATGAACCCTAATGAAATAGAGCTTACAGCTTCATATCCTTGCAGTAATCTAATCAAATCTTGTTAGATTTGGAAGAAATTCGATCTCAAGCCTTTGATATCACCCAAAATTGCCCTTGAACTCATCCAAAATTGTTATATTTGATGCAGAGGCAAACAAAACTAGTCCAGGATGAGAACCAATTGTTGGAAAACATTCTAAGAACACTACTTCAAGAGCTCGTGGTATGTTAATCCTTACATGCTTTCTTAATGTTCATATTTCACATGGGTTGACTAGTCAACATGTTATATGCCTCAACATCATGTAATTGTTGTTTGACCTAGTCAGCTGCAGTTCAATCAGGGGAAAATACTATGCATTATGGGGCATCAATTGATGATGGTGATAACACACAGGGGCAAGTACCTCGGCTTCTTGGTGAGTATATTTTATATATATATATTTTACTCTCATGACTTATTAGTCAATCTTCTTGCACTTATATTTCCATTTCTTGAAATCTTTTCAGACATTGTGCTATATCTTTGTGAAAATGAACACATTGAAGGGGGCATGATATTCCAGCTTTTGGAAGATTTAACAGAAATGTCCACAATGAGAAACTGTGAAGATGTCTTTGGTTATATAGAAAGTAAGCAAGACATCTTGGGTAAGGTGTGTAAATTCTCTACTTTTACAGGGTCTTTTAAGTAATTTTTTTATATCTATTCTTGTGTTCACTTCCATACATTCATACAGCCAGAACTTTTTGCAAGGGGAAAGCTTGTAATGTTAAGAACTTGCAATCAACTTCTTCGTCGCCTTTCAAAGGTAATTTTAATTAAGGGAAATTTTCAAGTTGCTTTTTTAATTAATGACATTTTTGCCCTCTCTACTTTTCAGTCAAATGATGTGGTGTTTTGTGGACGTATCATTATGTTTCTTGCACATTTTTTTCCATTGTCTGAACGTTCAGGTTATTATTATTATTTTTAACTATTTTTATTTATTTAGTGCTCTACTTTTTTCTCTGACATTATTATTTCTTTTGCATGTACAGCTGTCAATATTAAGGGAGTTTTCAATGTTTCAAATGAGACAAAGTATGAGAAGCAAGCACCTGATGGTAAAAATCAACTCTCTTTTTTTTTTTTTTTTTTTTTTTTGTGTGTGTGTGTGTGTGTGTAAACTAATATATCCCATATATATTTTATAAAATAATTTATTGATTCTAGATTTCAAATTAACAATTTCTATTTATGCTCAAATGCATGCCTAAAAAAGTTATATGGCTTTCAGGAATTTCTATAGACTTCAATTTCTACAAAACCTTTTGGAGTTTGCAGGTCAGTTTAATGATTCCTTTTTTCAATTAATTTTGATACAGTTTTATTCTGATTAAAAAATATAAAATCAGTATAATTTTAAAGATTCAGTGAACTCTATTTTTACTGAATCTTGTTTTACTGATTAAATACTTGGTAGTTAGTAATATTTTTCTGAATGAAAAATTATGGTTGAAAAAAAAACTAATCATTAAATAGCTAAACATTCAAATAACTTAGTCAATCAGATAGTTGACAACATGGATGATTTATTGTTTCTTTAAATTCAATTTCAAGGTTTAAATTTCTACAAATTGTTATTTATAATAAACATTTTTTTTTTGTTTCAGGAGTATTTTAGCAACCCTGCTTCCATTACTCCTGCCACCCCCAAGTGGCAGAAGTTCTCTTCCTGCTTGAAGGTATTTTTTTCCCCATAATTACCCTTTTCGTATTATTATTATTTTTTCTTTTTCTAATTTTCCTCATTTTAAAAATTGGATTTTCCAGGCTGTTTTAAATACATTTGAAGCTCAGCCTTTAAGTGAAGAAGAGAGTAGTACAAACAATCTTGAAGATGAAGCAGCAACATTTAGCATAAAATATCTTACAAGCAGTAACTTAATGGGTCTAGAGGTGGGACCCTCTATTTTTTTATTATTATTTTTTATCATAAAATACTTCAATCTCATCACACTTTACTTTCTTTATTTATTTATAAATTTTGGTCTAATATAGTTAAAAGATCCAAGCTTTCGTCGCCATATTCTTGTCCAATGCCTAATTTTATTCGATTATCTTAAGGTAATTAATATATGCATTCCATTATTATATATATATATATATATATATATATATATTTGTATAATTGTATGTAATATTATGATGTTACTTACATATGCAATTGTTTAAAAAAAAAATTAGGCTCCAGGGAAAAACGAAAAAGATTTGCCTTCTGAAACAATGGTTAGTTGGGACTTTAAAATTTAAATACCTTTAAAATGTGACAAGTGGTATTTTGTTTATTGTTTTATAAACATTGTGGTATTTATTTATTAATTGCAGAAAGAAGAAATAAAATCATGTGAAGAAAGAGTAAAGCAACTTCTTGTGATGACTCCACCTAAAGGAGAAAAATTTCTCCAAAGCATTGAGCATATATTAGAACGAGAAAGGAATTGGGTATTTTTCCATTTCTATCCTTCTTGAATGAATAATATATAAATTGATTTTATTTTTATTTTTCAAATTGTTTTTTTTAGGTCTGGTGGAAACGTGATGGTTGTGCTCCATTTGAAAAACAACCCACGGAAAAGAAAACTGTGAGAGATGGAGGAAAAAAACGGTATATATATAATTATATATAATTTTTAATGATTGTAAAATTTATTTCTGAGTTATTTTTATATAAATTTCAGTCGTCCAAGATGGAGATTGGGAAATAAAGAACTCTCTCAGTTATGGAAATGGGCGGATCAAAATCCAGTGCGTCGTGAAATATAAGTTTATTTATTTATTTTTATAATTTTTTACTTTTAACAGAATATTATTTTATTTATTTACCAATTCTACCCCTTGTGCAGAATGCTTTAACTGATTCTCAACGTGTACGAACGCCAGCTGTTACAGAATACTGGAAACCCTTAGCCGAAGATGTAAATTCCCATATTATCCAAGTTTTATTTTTTTATATGTTTTGTTTAAGTAAATTAAATTTTGGAGATTTTTTTTACATAATTCTTTTTTGACTATTTTTGGGACCAAAGTTGCAAGTCAGCAACATTTATGGACCCAAAATAGTCATTTTTTATAAAACAGTGACTAAAGACGTTACAGAACCTTGAATGATGACCAAAATTGCAAGGAAAAAACTTTGTAGGACCAAATGCAAAAATGAAGGTATAATAGGGACTGAAAATGTAACTTACTCTTGTTTGTTTTTTAAAATTTGCAGATGGATGTAGATGCTGGGATTGAAGCAGAATACCACCATAAAAACAACCGTGTTTACTGCTGGAAAGGTCTTAGATTTTCAGCAAGGCAGGATTTGGAGGGGTTTTCTCGAGTGAGTTTTATTTATTTATTATTTTTTAATAATTAACAAAAAAAAGATATTATTATATAATTGTTTTTTTTAATAAAATGATGGTTTTTTTGTTTTAGTTTACTGAATTTGGTGTGGAAGGGGTTGTGCCGATGGAACTTATGCCAGCTGATGTCCGATCAAAGTATCAAGCAAAACCAAGTGACAGATCAAAACGTGCTAAAAAAGAAGAAAACAAAACTCCTGCAAATCAATCAGAAGACAACAATCAGGTAGTAAACATACACATTCTTCTTCTTCTTCTTCTTATTATTATTATTATTTTTTAATAAATTCGATGTTTTTATTTTTGAAAGATTGCAACACCTGCAAGTGAGGGTGATGGTGAAGGGAATAATAATAATAATAGGCAAGATCTTGAAGCATCAACAGTGGCAATGGAGACCGATACAGCAAGTCAAGAGCCTGGTCAAATTGATGAAACAGAGCCGGAACCGGAACCGGAACCAGAACCGGAAACGGAACAAGAACCGGAATCAGGGATGATAGATGCTGAAAATGATGCGGATGTGGATACAAATACAGTGGGTTGAAAAAAGAAAGGAAAAGGAAAGAGTGGTAGTAGCTTTCATCTTTTGTATGAAACCTGTGTGTGTAAGTGTGTAATATTATGAATCCAACCAACACTTTATACCGTTTGAGTAAAACTAACAGGATATATTTGATTGTAGTTATTTTGAGTTTTAAGATTTGCCAAATTGTTGGCTGTTAAGCTTCTTTTTCACATTGTTGAAATGAGAATATAATGCTAAATTTATATTTTTTTTTTACATATTATCATGTGTCCATAACAAAAAGTAGACGACCACTTATATATTAAAATTGATTAAATGCAAGAAACATACAATACAGCATAGTTGACATAGTTGCTTGCGATAACATTAACCGATTTACGTCTCACTATGTGAGCTTTGAACTTTATGTGGGCCCGTTGTGGTTGCCAAGATTCAATATATATATATATATATATATATATATATATATATATATATATATATATATATATATATATATATATATATATATATATATATATATATATATATTTTAATTTTATTTTATTTATTTATTTATTTTTTTTTGTGATAAAATACATTTTGCTTATATAAAAATCTACATAATTAAAGTTAATAATATTTTCCTCATAAAATGAATTAAGATTGATGATACGTTGAAAGGTTTGAAACTGTTCCCTTTATCAAGTTAATGACATACACCTCACCTCCAAGATTCTAAAATTGATGTTAAATTCTCCTACTTCCGAGGCTCCGAGTCGTGTGTATACATGATGGGGTCTCTTTCTCTTTCTTGTTCATGCAACATGAAAATTCCTTCAAAAGAGGAGATGTTTTCTCCTTGTTTCAAGCCATTATCCCTCCATCCCTACACCGCGAGAGATGCAGATTGCAGAGGAGATAAACTGGGAAAACTTCGATTGGGGTCTTCTCGTTTCTCTCTCGTTGCCTCTTCGCCTATCAAAGTTCCTTGTAAAACCTGCAAAAAGGAGAAAATTGAATGTGGTTCTTTGGAAATCAACAAATTCAAGACAAGTCGTTTACTGTGAAACAATGTTTTGGTGCGTCTCCTGTCCAAACATTTTTTTTTTGTTTTGGTCGAAAAGTAAGAGAATCAAAGCGGGTAACACCCCGTTTTGATCATTCTTCTGCAGTGTAGGTGTTTGATGATTTGTCACAGAGATGAAGGGAGAAGATCACATAAGGACTTTGTTTGGGATTACGCTAACAGATAAACCAACATGGCAACAATTTCTTATTTGTTCTTCTGGATTTTTCTTTGGATATCTTGTTAATGGCATTTGTGAGGTTCGTTTTTCTCATTGTCATTCATATATCGCGCAGATTCACACATAATCATATCTATATTATTATTATTATTTTTTTATGGCAGGAATACGTATATAACAGGCTTAAATTCAGCTATGGATGGTATTTTACATTCGTACAAGGCTTTGTATACTTAACACTCATAAGTTTACAAGGATTCACCACAAAGCAAATGGTGAATCCATGGAAAATGTACGTTAAGCTTTCAGCTGTTCTTATGGGTTCTCATGGATTAACAAAAGGATCCTTGGCTTATCTCAATTATCCCGCTCAACTAATGTTCAAATCAACCAAGGTATCTCAAATGTGTTTTTATACTTTTTTTTGGATCCAAATTTGCTGTTTTAATATTTTATAAACGAAATTGTTTATAGGTTTTACCTGTTATGATGATGGGAGCTTTCATTCCTGGTTTGAGAAGAAAGTATCCCCCACGTGAATATTTTTCTGCTGTTCTTCTTGTTGTTGGATTGATTCTCTTCACATTAGCTGATGCCAATAGTTCTCCAAATTTTAGTATTTTTGGTGTTGTTATGGTTTCTGGAGCCTTAGTCATGGATTCCTTTCTGGGTAATTTGCAAGAAGCAATTTTTACCATTAATCGTGATACTACTCAGGTAATTATTGTCTTTGGTAGTGTTTGGTATGAAGGAATTGAACAAGGAATGGAATGTAATGACTAATTCCATTCCTTCTTCAGTTTCCATCACTTCACATTTACTCACACAAATTTTCAGATGGAAATGCTATTCTGCTCAACAGTTGTTGGAACACCTTTCTTGATTCCACCAATGGTTTTAACAGGAGAATTATTCAGAGCATGGAATTCATGTTTTGAAGTAAGTCTTCACTCTTCTCTTTCAACAATCTATATACATATATACAAAAAAAAAAAAAAAAAAAAAAAACTACATGTTTTTTAACAGTTCTTTTATAAATATAAAAAAATGCAGCATCCTTATGTATATGGGGTGTTGGTTTTTGAAGCTGTGGCTACATTTGTAGGCCAAGTATCCGTTCTATCACTAATTGCCATTTTTGGAGCTGCAACCACTGCTTTGGTAATTAAACATTTTCTTAATTCTGTCAATCACATTAAAAAAAAGTGGGATATATATTTTATAATTTTAAAGATAAAAATGTATATATGGTTATTACAGGTAACAACCGCAAGAAAGGCAGTAACTTTATTGTTATCTTATATAATATTTACAAAGCCCATGTCAGAACAACACGCGATGGGGTTAATTTTAATAGCCGCGGGTATTATGATGAAAATGTTGCCTGATCACAAGATTCCTCAAAAGCTTAGAATACCGGATGCGATTGTAAAACAAGTAAAATCTTATCCTAGAGATGAAAAGAATGAAGAACATGATGAAGAAAAAAGGTCTTTGGTGTGAAATGGTTATTGAAATTGGTGATTTGTTGTTGTTGTTGTTGAGATTGAAAGAAGGTTTTTGGTAGGGGTGTAATGTTAGATATGTGATGGTTTTGTTTTTGTTGATTTGGATGTTTAGTTAGATTGTTTTGAAGTTTAATTGGCGGGATGTATTGATATTTGGAAATGGATTTTCGAGATAATTAAGTCGTTTTGTTATTTTATCTGATAAAATAATAACTTGATGAATGATTCTTGAAACATGCAAAGGTTTCCACCAAATTCGTTTTCCCATAAAACCTACAAAGCCTCTTGAATTCAATAAAAATAAATTTTTTAGTTTGCATGTGGATGTAGTTTGGTCACAATCGAGTGAACAATGTTAAATCTTCCTGTGTTCTTTATTTAATCTTTGGTTGCATAATCGTATATATCTTTGTTCTCAATTTTTGATGAGGTTGCATCTTAATACCCAACAGTACTTGTTATAATAGATCAAGATGCGAGCATTACTAGCTCAAGAAGATTATGATGTTGCATAGGATGCTTTTGGAAGAAAAATCACACCATTGGGACTAAGGAAGAGAAGAAGAAAGATTATAAAGCCCTACACCGAAATCATTTCCATCTTCATAACCACATTTTGAAAGAAGTTCTAAAGAAGACTCTAAACATAAAAAAAAAAAAAAAAAAAAAAGGTGAAATTCAACACTTCAATTCACAACATGTTCATTCAGGCTTTTGGGCATTTTATAACAAATATTCAGGAGGTGTTAGGTACATTATGACCATCATTGGCTGCTATTCAATAAAAGTGGGACCTTATTTTTTTTTTTTAAATAAATCAGATGCATTCTTCGACTTTAAAAAATGGAAGACTGTCATTGAAAGCCAAATCGAAAAGACAGTTAAAAAGTTGTGTACAAATAATGGTTTGGAGTTTTGTTTAGAAAAAAAATTGAATTATACTTCAAGATTGAAGACATTGTTGGTGATTTTGTATCATTAATATTATTTAAGTGTAATGAGATTATTTTGTTGATCAATGTTACATTGATAAATATTAAACAAGTTAGGGTGGTGCGGAGTGCATATTTGTTAAAGTTTGTCTTGATTTAAAGTACACTGCTATTTAGAGGAAAAGTCCATGAACTGACATGAGTCCGGGGGTAGCTCCCCTAGGAGTGGGGTCAAAGGGACAACAGCCCATGGCGGAGTCCAACAGGCAAAACCCCTGGCTAGGTCGAAGTTCTAGACTTGGTTTTAAGTTAGTTGCTTTGTTAAAAATGCATTAGAAATCTGAATTTTAGAAAATGAACTCGATTTTGTAATCCAAGTTCTAGGCCTCACTTTAAGTTTGGACAGGAAGTTACATTCTTGTAACAATGAGTTTTAAATTTTTTCTTTAATGTTGTTTTCAAAAGAATTGGTTTTGCCATCCAGAAAAAGCTAGCGGCGCAGCTTGTTACCCGTTTGTCTTCAATCGATATGTATTGAACTAACAATTAGTTATTTAATCAAAGAAAAATTGTCTAATAGACATTTCCACAAACTATATCGTCCCCTACACTCATTAACACAATCATGTAAATATATGTTGTCTAATGCAAACCTATATTTTCAATTTTAGCTCAAGGCGGCCTCCACGACTTGTCACCTTATGAATTAATCAACTTTCCGTAGCCCTAAACAAAGACTCAAGTTGATGTATGGTCCTATTCTCCTACAAATTACTCAAAGTTAATGATTTTTAGTTGCACAAATTATGCCCATGTTGATAAGGGGAAGCTAGAACCAAGAGCCATCAATTATATTTTCCTCGGTTTTAAATATGGAGTCAAGGGTTACAAGCTATGGAATCTTGAATCATACAATATTAAAAAATAAAAATTTTAAAATCATTTGTAGCATCCTCGTTTTTCAAATGGTTAAAATACATAGCATTAATGCATAGCTCATTGAACAATGGACCTACTGTGGGCTAATTAAGATGGGCCCATGTCCATGAGATGGTAAATTTATATATGGACAGACAGCAGCATGTTACCAGACCGCCATCATCTCGCAGATCCAACGGCTCTAATTGAAACTCAGTACCCCACCTGAATTTAACGGTTAAAAAACGTAGATTTCCATGTACCTACGTGTACATTATAATAAGTCTGCTGATTTGAAAAACGAAAATCGAAAACCCTAGAAAGACGAAATTTTGATCTACGGCGAAAAAAGGGGTATTTTTATCATCATAAGAACCCTAATTTGGCTTCGTTTGATTCAATCTCTGTTCTCGAAAAGGAAGCTATCATTCATACATGAAAGGAACCAAGCGTCTCGCCATATCAGAATCCAGTGCAGACACCAACAATTTGTTTGTGAGTAGCACCCTAGCTCCCTTTTTCCGTTTCATTACTTTCTGTTCGTATCAGCTGAGGCATTAATGGGTTATGTAAACTCAGGTGAAGCTTAGGGTTTCGATTTAATTGATTGATTTTGTAACTGGTACTGAATCCCGACTGATTTTCTTCTCGCAATTTGAGCTGCTATGTTGAAAGCAATATAGTCGATTTCTTACAGTTTTAGCTGAATGCTAAGCTGAATGGGGACTGTTTTCTTGCTCTTATTACTATAGTTATGTGGTTTCAGAGTAAAAAAATTATGGTAGGAGCTCAATTTGATTTTCAACGGGCAGAATCATCACAACAAAAATCAATAGCAGCTCCATCATTGGATATGCGTCGGGCTGAATCATCAAGACAACATGTGAGAGCTCTTAATAACCAATTTGCAAGGTCTGTGATCTTTCCTGTTTCAGTTGCAAGAAACTCTCACTGTTTTACTATTTCAATAATTTAAGCTGTTATCTACAGTTGGGTTAATACTCAGTTACAAAACCACCCTGATGAACTTTGGGAAGATGGAGTACGTGACTACATAACTCACGCCTCAAGCATTCTGGTAATGATCCAAACTCATATCAAGTCTGCAATTTGTATATTTCGTGCAAGAATTTTATTGATCTTCTTTGTATAGGAGAAATTTAGTGATGTTGTCAACTGGCTCAAATCAAATTCTACAAAGAACGAAAATTTGTTAGAACAAGGATCACATTCTCCTCAAAAGAAACTTGCTACTGAAAGTAAAGACAATGAGAACATATCAACTATGAATGGTCCAACTTCTGGAACAACCCCAATGTTTGCAACTTCAGGGTTCACAGCCTCATGGAACACTGGTCCTCTCTTCAACAATCAATCTTCTTTTTCATTCGGTAGGTGTTATTTTCAGTTATTATGTCATGTGGTATCTTATAATGCTCAACTTTTTTAAGTTGTTTCATTTTCCTTCTCCCTCAGGTGGACAAAACTCAATTTCTGTAAAGCCAGATGCTTCAAATGATGCAGATGGAGGTAATAAGATACATAATATTATTTGCTCTTATATTTTGTTATAAACACTATGTGATTTTATTATTTATGTTTTGAATTTAACAGAAGATGATGTTGAGCAGCCAAGCAGCCCATCTGTGAAAAAGACCGAAGAGACCGGTATCTTGGTTGTGCATGAAGTCAAATGTAAGCTTTATGTCAAGGTAATTTTCAAAAAGGACAGATATTTATGGTATTTTATACCTTCTGTAGAATAATTACAAAAGGGTATATGGAAATAATTTTCTGCAATTTGCTCTTCATTCTTTGTTGTGTAATTTTCCCTTGTATCTATTTGTTTCAGTCAAGTGATTCAACAGATAAAGATGCATGGAAAGATAGAGGAACAGGTCAACTATCTATAAAATGCAAAGAAGGTGTCACCAAAGGCACCAAAGAATCCAAACCTACAGTTGTTGTTAGAAATGATGTATGTTATTTTTACAAAAGTTTTAAAGATTTATGAGATTTTGCTATATTATCATTATTATTAATTGCAGGTGGGAAGATTGCTGCTTAATGCATTGTTATATCCAGGGATAAAAACAAGCTTGCAAAAGAATTCCATTGTTGCCATTTTTCATACAGTGGTATGTATACGTATGCCATTTTATTCCCTGTTTTACCCTTAGGATGGCAAAGTTGTAATAATATAAGCAATATTATAGGATGATAGTGGGAATGATGATGATAGCAAAGTGGTTGCAAGGACATTCTTGATAAGGACAAAGAGTCAGGAGGACAGGGACAAGCTTGCAGCTGTCATTCAAGAATATGCTCCTGCAGCTTGATCTTCATCTGCCATTGATGATGTCATCTTCATCTTCATCTTCTCACCAAAACAAACTTGGCCCACCATTAATGGAAGACTAATTATGAACAAGGTGGTATGCAGAATCGAGGTCAATTTATGTACAACTTGGGAAATTTATTCTTTGTGTCGTATAAAAGATGAGATACAAAGTTGTAGTTTCTAAAATTTTTCTAAATTTATCAAAGTTTTTTTTTTTTTTTTTTAATCCACCATCTTAAGTAACATGCATCTTATATAAGAGGGGTAGAGTGACAAACTTTGTGATCTGAAAACTGTTGATTACAATCGATAATTGTCTTCACCTTGCATTTATTCTATTTGTCAATTTTGGTAGGTTTACTGGTGATTTTTCATTTTTAGATATTTTTTTTTCGTAAAGAACTTAAATATTTTCTATTTAGTTTCCGAAAAAATTCTAATATTTGACATTTTGTTATTGAATCTAATCCCTGCTTTCATGTTTTTCTAGTTAGAAACACCGATCTATAATAATGTGACTAGGAGACTCAATTTTAGTTTTTGTTTGAATCAACGGTGTTTTTTTACTGTTAATTCTCTTGTTCTTATTGTTAATGCTTTTTAACATTTGAACTTGAAAGAAACATTTGATTTGTTCGAAAAAGAGACTATTGTATCCATCAAAATGTTTATCAAAATCTATTTGTAGGATGGTCGGTGGATTATATGTGAGGTGAAAATTAACAATATACGTTGGCTTGGTATGTTAGATTGTTTTAAGAATAAAGAAGAGAACTTCTAAACACCCATATATGTTTGGAATCTAATATAATTGTCAAGCTATTCTTCCAAAAAGAATTGGACAAAACCTCTTTCTCTTTGTTTTGTATAAAAATCAAATATTTCCTTTAGATTTCAATGTTACTTTCAATGGTACAACGAAAAAGGCAACATTACACCTGCCCCATACAAATTGGGTAAGGGGAGGTAGGATGGTCAAATTTTAATGAAAAAAGCTATCAAAATATCATAAACAACAAGAAATTGATGGGAAGTATGCACCAAAAAGTAAAAGAATGGTTCAAAAGAAAAGGTTTGTCACATGTGAATGTTTTTTCGGATAAGAAAAAGTTGAAGGTTTATCTAAAGTAATTTTGTCAAGAACCGGAAAATTACCGGTAAACCGGCTAAAATGACCAAATTAGAAAAAATGAAAAAATACAAGCTCTTTTTTAGAAAAATAAATAAATTTGAGGTTTTATTTGGAAAAAACTTAAATATATAAGTTTTTTATAATATTTAGATGCTGTTTGTTTTTTCTAAAAAACCATTTTCTAACAATTTATTACTGCTGTCGTGCAGCACATGCGTATCACTTAGCCATTCACAGTTTGTTTTTTAAAATACTTCTGACTTAAAAACTGTTGCGTGTGTGCTGCGTGGTGCAACACTTGATCATTTGCTTCAAACTTCTTTACATATTACTTTAACTTATTTCAACAGTCTGCAGAAGTAAAAAACAAACAAGCTTTTTATAACATACTGCAGCCGTTTGGTTCCCCTCTTCCGTTACAGAGGGTTATAGAGATGGTCCGCAGATTTCAGACATTTTCGTTTCGAAAAAACAAACAAAACCTAAGTATTCATTTAATTCTTTGGGATTTATTGATATTTCTCAAAGTCATCCACAAGGAATGTATAACATCATGTCAATTTTGAAATGGAAAAATTACCTAAAAGAAAAATATATTTTTATTTTGTATACATTTAGTCTTTGTTGTTTTTTCTTGTAAAATAAGCCATTGAACTTGTTTTATATACATTCAGTACTTATGACCGACTACTCTAGGTTAAGTTCTCAATTTATACATATTTAGTCATTAATGTATCTTTTTTGAAAAGTAAGCCATTGTTGTTTTTGTATACACTTATGACCATTTTTTCTTTATGCTTTTGCTCACGTGACATGAGATGTTTTCATATATGGCTCATCTAGGCAGTGGAATCATGTCTAATTAATAACATTATACTTTTGATATTAGTAACTGTTATAGTATAATACCAACTGCATTTAATCCTAATACAAACTTCATTTAATAGCATTATAAACTAGGTTACACAAGGTGAAGTAGAAAATGCGTTAGCCATAATGATTCCAATACAAATACGAACTAAATTTCACTTCATCATTATTAATTTTTCTTTATCATTATTAATTTTTCTTCAACTCATTCAGTTCTCTTTTGAGACACAAAACCTCCTCTTTAACAACTGTAAGCTCATATTCAAAATTTGAGGTCAATTTGCCATGTTCTACATTTACCTATTACCAAAATTTATACTTTTTATCTTGTTTTTCAGTAACAAAATACAAATTCTAAGAATGTAAGAAGGAAGGTCAATTTGAAAAAAAAAAAAAAAACTCATTTATTGAAAAAAGGTTAAAATCGACATACCAAATAATTAAAGGAGACTCTAAACTTTTTTGCAAGGTGATCTTTTGTCTGGGAAGTGCAAGTCGAGTTAGGAGGAAGCAATCGCAAATAATATTGTTGTATGCTATGGAGATAGATGAATCGAAACCGAAGACATTTTCTTTTGGAAGAAAATTAGGACATTAATATTATTTGCGGATTCATTAATTAGACTACTGATATAAGCGGGGGACGCGTTTTAAGGACTTAATGTGTAAAAAAACAAGGAACTACTTTGCAAAAAAAAAAACATTAATGATTAAATATGTAAACTTAATAACTTAACCTGAAGTAGTGAATCATAAGGATTAAATGTATACAAAACAAGTTCAAAAGCTTATTTTACAAGAAAAAAAAATTAATGACTACATATATACAAACTAAGAACTATATTACATTTATAAATAATTTTTCCTTTTAAAATCTTATAGATAAGTGAACGTCCACCGGAACGCCCATGGATTTTATCATCACATATGGAAAATCTTAAAAAAAGTTATATGTACACATATAATAAACATCTAGTAAAGTTCATGAATAGACAAGTAAAAGCGTTTATGATTTCAAAATTTATTTTTAACAGAAAAAAGTGATTTTAATTCTTTATGTGGGTTTTGTCCAATGTTTTTTTAGACTACTCGGTGTGTGTAATGAGAAGTGTTGTTTTTGTGACGTGGACAACCTTTAACGACGTTACCAAAGGGGGAACACCGCCACCCTTCCCGATATGTGGTGTTCAGTCGTGATGACAACTAACTGCAACAGGAAGACTATCAAATCGTATTTCGATGTTGACTTCGATTTTGATCATATTAACCAGCATTTATCAATCGTTTGTTGTATGTAATTTTGACCATATTAGCGAGAATGAGATTTGATGAAAATGATTTTTATGAGGGAGCCATGCAAGAAAACAGATAGGTTGGAGAAGACAATTAGAAGAGTAAATATATATAGGTTAAAATGAGATTGGGCCTGTTACAATTGCTTGGGTTTTTTTATATGTTTTATACGACCTGTATATATATATATATATATATATATATATATATATATATATATATATATATTATATATATATATATATATATATATATATATATATATATATATATATATATATATTTAAAATTAGGCTATGATGGTCTTTTCTATAATTATATGGTAATAAAAATCATAAATGACTATAGTTTTAATTAATTTTGTTATATATATATATATATATATATATATATATATATATATATATATATATATATATATATATATATATATATATATATAATGATGACATGAATTGTTATAATTAGTTGCTAATTTTCTTAATTTGGTGTTATAACACCATATTAACGATAAATTTTAACACTTTTTAACTAATTGCCTATATCCGCTAGTCACGTCTCATTAATAGTTATTACGAGGGTAATAGTCGTTCATATGCCTATTAACTCTAATGATTAAAAAAAAATTACTTCTACCATTAAATATATTCAAAGTAAATTTATTTTAAATAGAAATTTACCTTTATCCTTGTGATACACAACTTGGTCCTACCGAACTAAGTCAGAGTTTATTTATTTATTTATTATTTATTTTTAATTTTAATAATATTTGCATAAAAGGTGATAGCTCATAGCTAGATTGATTGATGAAGGTTTGAAAAGGCAGCGAACAAAGAAAACCGTATGAGCGCCACCTCCACCTTAATTCCATCCCTTTCCCAATCCCTCTCTTCTCTTCTATCTTCATATCGCAACATAACATGCAGGAATAGCAGATACAAATGCTATTCAATTCCAGTCTTCTTTGTTAATTTCCAAATCATCAAAAAGAAAACCCAAATCTTGTGATCAATTTCATGCAACCCACTCCGCACTCTCCAGATCCCTTCTTCTAAATACAAGAACACATACATCTATACGTACACAATTGCTTCTTTTTGTTGATGTTCATCTAAGATACCCAAAGGACGAAGGTTAGGCTTATTACCACTATCTACGTGAATTTCAAGTTATTGCATGTCAATTCCCATTTCTCGGACTGGGTTACGATTTTTGCGTAAAAGTTATCAAAAAAGATTGTTTCTTTAATGTGGGTATTGCATTTTAAATAACGTTTGATGGAGTAGAAGGTGCAGGTTGTATTTCAATTTCTACCACAAGTGATCACTTTCTTTGTATGAATCAACAAACGAAATAAAGATTGCTGCTGCTTTGGTTTGTACATTAACATGAGTGTGTTACAATCTAATTTCTAATTAAACCGTTTATCTGTTGTTCTTCAGATATGCAAAAAGAAAGAAAGAAAGACATGTATCATTTGAAACCACTATGGAATTATGGAAAAATCCATAAGTAGCATGACTCTTTTGCATTTACATTTCCACAATATGTAATTGTTAAAGCATCTTTTTACACAAGATGTAGAGTTCTCTTACTAGACCTATGGTTAGGTACAACTAAAACTAAATAAGTTTCTTTGAAAAGTTGAGAGCTTTTATGTAGCCAAAGTGTGTTTAGTTGATTCTTGGGACTTATATTCTGGATAAAAAAATTTCTAGATTCTACGGGTAAATTTCTACTACATTTGATGCAGTGAGAGATGGTTGCTTTTGGGAAAAAGTTAAAAGACAGACAAATCGAAGAATGGCAAGGGTACTTTGCATTTTCCCCTCATTTTTTATAGTGTAGAAAAGTGTGAGCTAAACAATACGCTCGATAGTATCTCAAGGGGCACTTATTGAAACTTCATTTTATGTTATATATGGTGACTTAACAGATACTACATCAATTACAAACTTATGAAGAAAAAAGTTAAACAATATGCTCGACAGATTGAAACCGGAGGTATTGAACGTAGATACGTTCTCAAAGACTTCTCAAGAATGCTCGATATCCAGGTACACTAACTTTTGTGCAAATCTTTTTAGTTTTTAATGTACTTAATGTGTGATTTATGTATATAATGGATGTAGATTGAAAAAGTTGTTCTCTTTTTACTGGAACAACAAGGGATTCTTTCTAGCAGGATAGCCAAGTTTGGAGAACAACAAGAAACTCTTCAAATCGAGCTTGATTTAGTCAAAATAGCTGCTTTGAGAGAAGGTTATAGAGACATTGGAAGAGATCTACTAAAGCTTCTGTTTTTCGTTGAGATAAATGCAATTGGACTTCGTAAGATCCTTAAAAAGTTCGATAAACGTTTAGGCTACGGATTTACTGATTACTATGTTAAAACACGAGCGAATCATCCTTATTCCCAGCTTCAACAAGTCTTCAAGCATGTGGTAATTTGCATTCTTTTATATTTATTTACTTCTAATTTTGAAAGAAATCTAACAAAATTTTCAGGGTTTAGGGGCTGTGGTAGGGGCCATATCTCGAAATCTAGCAGAACTTGAAGATCGTCAGGGGAGTTACTTATCGATTTATGATCAACCTACTCGCCCTCTTCAGGTTTTCCCAACTTTTATCTTATTCTTTCAAATTTTCTCCTTTTAATTCGTTTCATAAAAATCCCAATTGTAGGATCCTGTAATCGACGCAATAAGAGCAGCTGTAGACAGATTATCTTACTCGACAAATTTTCTTACTTTTCTGGGGCAACATGCTCTTATCATGCACGAAGAACTACCAATGCCTACAGAGGAAAACCCCGATGATGAAAGATACAATTTCATGTCACTTTTCATGAATTTGGTGAATACATTTCTTTATATGGTGAATACGTATATCATCGTCCCAACAGCAGATGACTACTCCATGAGCCTAGGAGCTGCAGCAACTGTTTGTGGGGTTGTGATCGGTGCCATGGCTGTTGCTCAAATCTTTTCTTCAATCTATTTTAGCGCCTGGTCAAACAAATCGTATTTCAAACCTTTAGTCTTTAGCAGCATCCTTCTTTTTATAGGAAATGTAATGTATGCATTGGCTTATGATTTCAACTCCATATCAGTGCTTCTACTCGGTCGTTTGTTTTGTGGGTATATAATTAATGTATGTCTCTTTCTTGACAATTCGAACAAAACATTGACTTTTTCGTTGACTTTCCAGTCTTGGGTCTGCTAGAGCAGTGAACCGAAGGTACATCAGTGATTGTGTCCCACTCAAGATCCGAATGCAGGCTTCAGCAGGTTTCGTTAGTGCGAGTGCTCTTGGAATGGCTTGTGGGCCCGCTCTTGCGGGTTTACTACAAGTGAAATTCAAGATTTATATGATTCATATTAACCAAAATACGTTACCTGGTTGGGTTATGGCTGTTGCATGGCTTTTTTATCTTATATGGCTTTCGATTTCATTTCGAGAACCTGATCGTCTTTCCCACAAGGATCTTGTCCATGATTATGACACACGTATGTTAAATAAATTCCATCTTTTTAGTTTGAATATTTTAATTTTATTGTTTATATATAATGGTGTTGGAATTTGGATCTTTATGATAGGTCAAGTGGGGAGTGATGCCCTTGAGAAAGGTGCAACACAGCCACTATTAAGCTCAGAGGCACACCAAGATGGTGAAGATGATGATCAAGAATGTGACGTCAGTGAGGAACTATTGGAAGACTCACATGCACCCGTTAGTTCCTTAAAGGCAGCATATAAGTTACTCACACCTTCTGTAAAGGTTTGTTTTTACACTAGTTAATTAATACATGCAAATTATAATGATCATTTCTTCAAGAATTTTTTTTACGATGAATATATATCAGGTCCAGTTGCTGATATATTTTATGCTAAAGTACGCAATGGAGATCTTGTTGGCAGAATCTAGTGTCATAACTTCATACTACTTTCACTGGACTACTGGTAAAGTTTCAATATTTCTTGTGTGCCTCGGCCTAACTGTTCTTCCTGTAAATATTATCATCGGACGCAATATCAGCAACATTTTTGAAGACAGGTATATACATTTCATTAATCATGTATATATGATCGATGTACCCTTTTCTTATCAAAAGATTTCTTTTTTCCATATTATGTTTCAGACAAATATTACTAGCATCCGAAATCATGGTGTTTTTGGGGATTCTCGCAAGTTTTAACGTAATAATTCCTTACACCGTGACTCAGTATGTCTTGTCAGGACTCGTGATGTTTGTTTCTGCCGAAGTTTTGGAAGGTATTTCTTTTATTTTTGTGATTATATAACATGTAATGGTATATATATATACTATAGCCTTTCTGCCATTGTTTGTTGATACTTTAGGTGTGAATCTATCGCTTCTTTCTCGTGTGATGTCATCAAGGCTATCCCGTGGGACTTATAATGGTGGATTATTGTCGACTGAAGCTGGAACAATCGCGCGAGTGATTGCAGATGCTACAATAACATTAGGAGGGTATGCGGGGGAGAGTAGACTCTTGAATGTCACTTTACTACCTTCTCTTGCAATCTGCATATTGACGATTATTTGCACGTGTTTGACTTACAATTCACAATACTGATTGATATCTATATATTATCTTGATGTATTGGAGTTTGAATCATACACGTAAGAGGCCAATTGAGTATTTGTAATGTATTTTGTTATTTGTATGTAACAAGCTTTAGTCATGGGAGCCTTATGGGCTACGGTTGAAAGGTTGAGTTGCATAATTTGATAAATTAAGGAGAGAGAATACCAAAAATATGTTTTAATGCTTCACGATTTACCTTCTACCCCCACTACACGGCCTTGGAATGGATTTGGCATGGGCCGTTCACTTATGCGTAGATCTTGTTGTTTATCATTCTAATGAGTTATTGTAATGAGTTTTAGATGTGAAGATAGGATTTTTATATCTTTTTTTTTTTTTTTTTTTTTTTTTTTAATTTTTTTATTTATTTATTATTTTTTTTTTTTTGTAAATTTTCTTGGTCACTGTTTATAAAATTGAATTGTTTTATAATTCAATAAATCATTTTTGGATTTGAATTTGTTTGCAGCTGTTGTATCATGTATTTGTGCATGTGTATTTGGGACAAAATAGTTGGCATGTATGTTTGTATAGTGTACAAGCTTGTTAAGTTATTTTATTGATTTTATTTTTCTCCTTTTACCGTAAGTATTAACATTTTTTATCTCTCTCTCTCTCTCTCTCTCTCTCTCTATAATATATATATATATATAATATATATATATATATATATATAATATATATATATATATATATATATATCAAATGAGAACCAAAAAATGTTAAGAACCGTAAGAACCTCTAATTTTAAATGTTTATAAAGGGTGTAGGGTTTAGGGTGTTTATAAAGGGTTTAGGGTTTAGGGTGTTTATAAAGCGTTTAGTGTGTTTATAAAGGGTTTAGGGTTTAGGGTTTAAGGTTTAAGGTTTAGGGTTTAGGGTTACCCTAAACCCTTTATAAACATCTAAAGTTAGAGGTTTCCTACGATTATTAACCTTTTTTGGTTCTCATTTGAACTACTCCCTATATATATATATATATATATATATATAGGAAAAGTGAATATACCCTTAAGGGTATATAAGCTTACGTACTCAAACACACAATAATACATCGTTTTGTTCGATATATTCATTATAATATTGTTAAACTTCAACCCTAACTTGATTTACTTTGAAGATATTCGAAATTTCACTATTATCATTCACTTACATCACATATTTTTGTCGAACACCTATTAGGCTATATATATTGTAGTTGAAAATAAAAATTATATAAGAGGAAGATAAATGTGTAAATTATAAAAATATTGGAAGTAAATCAAGTTAGAAGTTAAATTATAAGAACATTGGACAATTGGAATGTATTATATGATACAAAACGATGTAGTATGATGAGTTTGGGTACCTAAGTTTATATACCCTTAAGGGTATATTCACTTTTCGCTATATATATATATATATATATATATATATATATATATATATATATATATATATATATATATATAACATTTAGGGATGAACATATGATCTGTTGAATACAATCTTTTAAAACCCAAGGTTTTAGTTGACCCGGTATGATGACTAGTTCACGTATCAACCGGTTCAACCGCCGAATCAACCCAATTTATGTTCTTTTTCTGTTTTCATATATTTTTATTTTCGAGCATAATGCATAGATATATAAAACCAATAATGTGATGTCCATAAAGTTTAAACATTAAAAAATAAATCAAAACGTGGTATAGATCAATCTAAACATAATAAACAACCATATAGAGCACAAAAAACAAAACAAAACATAGTTTTGACGTTTGCTAATTGTATCTAAGTCCTATTAAAACGGGTCAATGTGGTTTTAACCGGTTTGGCATAATGGTTCAATCGCGGTTTAGGGGAAACCTAATTGGTTCGATCCGGTCTGTATTTTTATAACAAAAGCGTTCTCATTGACCCGCTTTTTACCCCGAGTCACCGTCCAACAGGTTGACTCGGCTGAGTAGATCTGGGTTTTAAAACGTTGGTTGAACATGATTGGACCAAAAAACCCCGGGACAGGACCCAAAATACATATAATTGGACCTGTTTTCGGTTTTAATTTTTAACACAAATCGGTTTTTGGGTTTGAACCGGATCAACACTTGACACAATTACTGGAATTAAGATTTACTTCTATTTTCTTTATAATATTTAACAATATCTATTATTGAAAATATAATTTTTACTGACCGTGTTTGTGTTTTTTTATGATTGCACAAATTACCTATTTACTTTCTCTTTTATACGTATTATTATATATATATATATATATTATATATATATATATATATATATATAATATATATATATATATATATATATATATATATATATATATATGAGAGAGAGAGAGAGGGGCAATCTCATCATTTTAAAATTATTTTTATTTTGGTCCTAGTGCTACCACATATTTCACATATAATTAGTCTAGTTTTGTTCGATTTAATTTTCTTCTGTCCAGTTAAGTCTAGTTCTATCAAGTCAGTGCACCAAATGGTACCTTATTGCAGAGACAAAATTCTAGAACAATATTAAATTTAATGGCGGTAATAGAATCAACAAAATAATTTTGCTGCTTGAAATGATTTAATAGGTTATACGTATTCTTCAATAACTTATCACTGAAAGAGATATTTAATTGATGTTTACATAGGTTTACTTTAATTAACCTAAAGTCAACCATAAATGGTATATAATTTGGCAATATGTTGTGAACTAGTGATGTAACGCCCCGATTCCTAGATATTGATTTCTTCTGATATAAGATCTTTTTGATTTCAAGGCCTACTCAACGAGTTGGTTGCTCGACTCTTCGAGTAGTAGCGGGTTGGTCCACGTGTTTAAGTGACCTACTCACCGAGTCCAAGGAGGGACTCGACGAGTAAGAGCTGGAAAATGAAACCTTAGTTTCCTGGGTTTTGCACCCAATTTAAAGGATCATTGGCCTCCCCAGCCTCCCCTCTACAGCCTCTTATCATTCCAAAACCTTAAATTCGTGTGTATGTGTGTGTGTGTGCTTCCTTGGTGTGTTAGGCTTTAAAGAAGGATTTTGGTGAGAAAAGCTTGGGGAACAAGTGATTGGAAGCAAGGAACTCGTGGGGAATCAGAGATCTACTTCAGTGGGCACCCTTTTGAAGGTATTAGGTTGTTACCTTGGCCCAATTCGTCCTAGATCTCTTTTGGATGGTTTTTAGGAAGCTTTTCTTATGCTCAAGCTAAGATCTAAGTTACAACTTCAGATCTGAACTCTCTTTGGTCTCTAAGTCCATAAAGTTGCCACAAGTATGAACCTCCCTCAAGTGTA